AGCCCCCCCCCCGCCGCGGGCACGGGGACGAGCCAGGTGCAGCGGCTGTACTTGTGGGTTGGATCGGGATATTTGAAACGGCGCGATCACAAATCTGAAGAAGCCTCCCTGAGTTTGAGACGTGAAAATATGCTCCATGTATTCCCGGGGGAAACCAACATAAAGATTCACATTCGAATTGTGAGGTCTCGGGTGATTGCAAGCGGGCATTTGCACGAGAACTCGGTCAAGGTCAGCGCTGAGCCTTTGGCTGCTGGATGCACCGAGGTGCTGGGCCTCCGTGGGCCCCGGGTGTGGGCGAGGGCATGGGCAGGGTGCAGCATGGGCGCTTTAGAAAGGGGGTTAATGCCACAAAGCTATTCACACTCAGAGGAAAGGGCTGGCTGGCCCGAGGGGAGAGAAGGGGGGCCTCAAGCCTCCAAAACTGTCACGGGCAGCCGTCTGCTCTCTGGGAGGTCTGCTCTCTGTCTGGTCCCCGCAGCAAGTTATCCTGACACCCATCCCTGTCTCTGGCTCCTGCCAGCGACAAAGCCACTCTCTCCAGGGACAGGCGCTGGCTCGGCGCCCACACTGCCCTGAAGAAGGCGGGCAGAGGGCAGAGCGGAGCTAAGCCCTCAGGGCTGCACCGCTTATACCTGCAGCATGTTCTGATGAGCAAAGGTGGGAGGGAGACAAAGGCCAAGAGACCAGGGTATGGGGAGAACTGCTAAAGGTGCGTGTGCATGAGTGTGCGACTGTGCATGAGTGTGTGTATGAGTGTGTGTTTGCATATAAGTGGGTGTGTGAGTGAATGTGAACATGTGTTTGTAGATGAATGTGTGCATGAGTGTGCATGTGTGTATGAGTGTGCATGAGCATGTATTTGTATATGAGTGTGTGTGTGTGTACAAGTGTGTGTTTCTGTGAGTGTGTTTGTGTGAGTGTGCATGGCCATGTGTTTGTGTATGAGTGTGTGAGTGTGAACGTTTATGTGTGAGTGTATGGCTGTGTGTGTGTGTGTGAATATGTGAATGTGTGTGTGTACATGTGTGTTTGTGTATGAGTGTGTGATTATGTGTGAGTGTATGAGTATGTGTGATTGTGAATGTGTGTATGGTTGTGTTTGTGTGAGTGTGTGTGAGTGTGTGTGAGCATATGGGTACTGGTATGGGAGGGTGGGTGTTGAGAACCCACATTTCTGCTGGAGAATCTGTATGAAGCCCCTGCCCTGCCCACCTCCCTATAGAATGCATTATTGATGGCCTGAATATGTAAGCTTGTCATCTATCTACATTAATAAAAGAGAAACATGCAAATTGGTATCACACTGCTACGCCCACTAGCCAATCAGAGAAACTATGCAAATTAACCCAACAAAGATGGCAGTTAATTTGCATACACAGGCGCGGAGCAAAGACTGAAGGCTCCGGCTGGAGTGAAGACTGAAGACTGAAGACCGAAGACTGAAGAGGCTTTGCTGTT